GGGAGACATAGCCTTTGTTTTCAGACCCAAGTCTGAAGGGGGAGAACTGTTAAGGTTCTCTAGTCTAATGGAGGAGGTTCTTCAGGGATCCCCCAGCAGAGGATCTTCAAGATCTTGCCCCAGTTTGATCGGGGAGTCCCTCTGATCGCCCCAAGTCTCAGGATAGAGGTCCTTGCCCAGTCTCCCTTCTTCAGTACACTCCCACTGACTCACCAGCATAGAGAGGGTCATAGGAGATCTCACTGTGGGACAAGCTGTAGATAGCCACGAAGAGCAGCACCAGGATCAGGGCGCTCATCAGGGCCACCCACAGAGGGCTGTGGAAGAGGAAGCAAGTCAGAAGGCCAGGCACAATGCTGAGGTCCTCCTCACTCAGGTGGGGCAAGGGCAGACTGGGTGGTGATGAGGCTGATGCCTACATTTGTCCATCTAACAAACCCTCTCTGGACCTGTACTTTTCCATCACCAGGCTCTTGCCTAGGCTCTGTCCCCCTCCAGAGTCATTTATTCACTTGGCAAACTCCTTCTCATCCCTTGCTGACCAACTACATTGCCCTTCCTCCAGGAAGCCCTCCCTGACTCCCCAGAAAGGATCATTGTCTAATTTAGGCCATGTACAGGGGACATCTGCCCACCCCTTCTGGCTGTCTAATTTATCCCATCATTTGCTGACTTGTCAGTCACTCAACAATGCCAAGCCCCTCTATGGCTGGGCCTAGCTTCATGGTTGCCAGAGGGTTTCTAGTGCTTGTATCTGTGCACCTCACTCTTTAAGACTTTTCCTGGCTAAAGTTCAAGCACTTCCATGACTCCACCCCAACTCTGCCACATCTGTCCCTACCAACCTGATAAGAGAGGTCAATGAGTTTTATAGATAACACCAAAGTGTCTTTGGGCAGCCCCCAACACAAGTAGGAAAACTGGGGCCCAAAGAGGGTGGGTGGCCTATCCAGGGTCACATAGCCTCTCCAGGCCTTATCTTCCTGGAGACCCCACTGGCCCCTAGGATCTCTGTCCTGGCCCCTTGTACCCACAGACAATCAGAGTAATCAACCCCACCAGCCTAAGTTCCTAAACTTCAGCCATACTATAGGATTACACCCATTACACAAGCAAAGAAACTAAGGCTCCCAGAGGTGATGTGGTTCATTTCATGGGGATGTGAGGGGTGAAGCTAGAAATCTGCACCCAGGGGTCAGCTTGGGTTAGACTGAGTTTAGCAGTGTGAGGGGCTTGGGGACACTAGGGGAAACTAAGGCTGGGGCGGAGTGGACTTCCCCTAAATGAGAAGAAAGTCCCTGGCTTGAGCCAGGAGACAACAGAGGGACTATTTGGTGGGGGCCGCCAGGCAGGTCTCGTGTGGTGATTGCCGGGTCGTCTGGACCTTAGCTGGGCAATCCTTTGACTCCACTGACTTTGTAGCCTGTGTTTTGTGCATCCCTGTGAAAGACCCCAAAGATCCTCCAAAGCCCTGCCCCGTGGGGCGTTCCACTCCTCAACCTCCTCCCCTCTCCCCAGGCTCAAATAGCCCAGGAGCTGCAGACGCTCCCCTGGCCATCTTCCGGATGAGGAGGACTTCCGGTTGGATTTGGGGAAGGGCTCCTGGCCCAGACCCCCTCCTCCTGGGCAGGAGCTGGGCAAGGGGCCCAGGGTTCGCGGGGCCCAGGCCCGTCGCCGCGCATCCTCCCTCTGTCCGCTTCCAAGGCCTCCCGCCCGCAGAGCCCGCAGTCCCCCAGAGCCCGCAGCCCCCAGCCCAACTCCTCCCCGCACGCACTGCGAGAGCGCCGAAACGTGGTTGAGCACGTAGGACACCGGCAGCGCGCTGAGTGACAGCGCTGCGATCTTGCCGGCCAGCGGCGGGATGTCCATGGCGGCGGCGCACAGACCCTAGCGCAGCCTCCTGGTGCTCGGCTTGGCGGCGCGCCTGTGGGGGGCTGTTCGCCAGGGAGCGGCCCGGCCCAGCCCCGCGCAAAGGTCGCCCCCGGCCCGCTACCCGCCGCCGCGGTGGCGGGTCTGCGGGCTCCTGGGGAGCCTCGGAGACAAAGTGTCCCTCCCCTCCCTCTTCCGTGGTCCGCCCCTCGCTCCTCCTCCTTGGAGCGGCCCCTCCCCCTTGCCGCTTGCCCGAGTCCCACTTCAGGTTCGCAGTGTTGGTCTCCGAGCCCAGCCTCAGTTTCCCTATCAAATGGTAGAAGACCGCGCGGCACACGTTCTAAGGGAACGATGCCTCACTCTGCACTTATCCCTTCTTTGTATCTTCATCTCGACCTCGACCCACTTGCTTCAATAGTCCTTCCCGCACCCCCCACCTCCTCAGGGTCGTGAGTATTCCTGTGGCACTGGCTGATGACCCCCATCCTGGTGCCTCTCAGTGAGCTGGGGTTCGAATCCTACATTTTATGTGAGGTCCATAGACATTTAACACGCGCCTCCTGTGAGGCTTTGAATCTTGGGTTAGGTTGCCTGGGGGATTCCATGACTCTGCTCTGAGAGGTTCCTTAGGTGAAGCTGCAGCCCTAGTCTGAAGTGGGGCTAGAGGGATGGGGTTTAGGGGGAGTAGGGGTGGAGCCAGCTTGGTGTTTGGGCAGTATTCCTGGAGAGAGAAGAGCATGGGCACCTGTCCACTTGGCTGGGTATGGTGGACAGTAAAGTGGAAGTGATGGAAGCAGAAGTCAGTTGCCAAGAGCAGGACCTTATTCTCTGAATGATGGCAGTTGTAGGAGATTGGGGCCTTGTCAGGGAGAGGTTGCAGGGTGGGGAGTAGGAGGTGGTGGTCTATCATCCCCACTTCCAACCACTGTGATTCATATGATATATATACAGACGTGATAAATGTCCACCTGTTTCCTGCCCTCAGGAATCCAGTGTGAGCTGAGGGCAGAGTCTAACCCTCATCCACAAGTCAGGGCCTGTTCTCCACCAAGCCCTTTGCCTTGCACCAGTTGGGTCCCAGGCAGAGCCGTATCTAAGGTATGGCAGGTATGGCTTGTGTGTCAGGAGCCACTTGAGGGGGTGTGCCAGTGAGCAGTTTCTATTAGTCATTGCAGTTTCCAGCACCAACTGTCTGAGATTCTGCAAGTTAAAACTAATTGCCTGCCATAGGTGCTATTTTCCATACATAGGCCTCTGGTCCCCGGTCTGTGTGAACTGAGTTTTCCATCCAGGACTGAATCAGCCCCTCCCAAGAGCATTGCCATGGGGAAGTTCAGGCTCCTCTGGGCCAGTTTTGCTTGTAGCTGGAAAAGTCCACCTCTCCTCTCAGAGCAGGCAGTTTTCATTTCTCCTCCTCCAGGCAGCCCTGCAGGCTGCCACCCAACCCCATTCCTCCCATGTCTGGCTGTCTGAGTACACCATCTGAGAGGTGTTTGTGGAAGGGCCTGGCCTTGCACACTGTGTCCCAGGCCTGCACAGTCACAGCATTTGGACCCTCCACCCCCTGCCCCAGGGAGTAAAGTTCACAGCTGGAGCCTGGCAAGCCTCCCAGTCACAGAGAATAGTGCTCAATGAAAGGGTAACATGAAGAGGGCACGAAGCATGTGTGTGTATGTACCACCAGCACGAATGCTGGAACTTGTGGCTGCCCTGAGGTGTCTGAGCGCTCAGGATTCAGTCCCACCACCTTAAGCTGCCCTAGGCACAGTGCCACGTACAGAAGACTGGGTGGCCTAAGTGCTACCATGGCCTCAGATCGCTGTCCCTGAGACCTTCCCATTACCACCACCCTCTTGAGATGCTCCCCAGACCACTTCCCCCTGCAGTGCGCCATTGTAGCAGAGTGGCCACAGAGATCGTTGAGGGGTCCCCTGCCCTCTCCCCACCAGACTGGCTCCCAGTCAACAATGAACTTGTGTGCACAGGCTACCAGAAGGCCAACCCCAGCTCCAAGCTGAGATCAACCAGCCTCTGGCCAGGATGAACAAGAATTGCCGGTGGGGATGGGTAGTTTCCCTGATGGCTAGGTCTTGCTACTCCACATGTGGTTTGAAGATCTGCAGAGCTGGCCTGTGGTTTGAAGATCTGCAGAGCTGGGCACATGACTCCTAGTCCTGCTCAGACCCAACTGAATAAAATCCCAAGAGGTTTCTGCAGAACCTTGAAAAGCTATTTCCACTCACCCAACCATGAGGTTCTCTGCCCCAAGGCCCATCCTTCAGAAAACCCTCATGACTGCTCCTGCTGGGGTGGAATGGCATCTTCCCTCTGACCCTCAGCAAAGCTCTGCTGTTCACCTTTGTCCACGTTAACACAGTGCATCCCTTCATGTGCTCCCTGCCAAAGGAACGAGCCCAAGATCCATTTGTCCACCAGTTTAATAAACGTTCTGGGGCCCATGCCAGGCACAGACTCCCAATGACAGGTCAAGGCTACCAGAGGGATATAGCCCTACAGGAAAGTCCCTGGGCCAGATGCAAGGTATGAGGTCCCCTGGGAGGAGCCTGAGGACATGGGGCAATAGAACAGGTATGCACTGGGGGACCTCACTTCTAGGACTGCCTACTTTGAAGGTCTGAGGGAAGGCTGGGGCCTGCCCGCAAACCCCTCTACAACTTTCTCCTGGCCCACATGTGGCCAAGGTAAGGCTAGATCCCAAACAGCCTAGCCTGGCCCCAGTTTACTATGCTGATAGCAGCCTTTCTCTATCCCCTCTCTGCAGGCAGACATGAGGCCAGGAATGCCTGGGATTCCTAGGGTGCTGGGTAGTCTTTGAAACATATACCACCTGGCTTGCCCCATCTGGCCCCAGCCCCACAGCTGAAGAACAAGAAGGTTGTAGTGAGGGGCAGGACCAGGCCAAGAACAGAGAGTTTGGGTGGACAGCAGGCCCCGCCCTGTGGATGACAGAGGGCTGTGGTGAACGGCAGGCCATGCCCTGCGGCAGGCTCACGCTGAGGCCTTAATACACAGCATGGCACTTGCAACAGGAGGGCAGGCAGACACGCAGGCTGGAACATTCTGGGTTCCAGGACAGTCCTTCAGAAAGTAGTGTGAATACTGGCAAATACTCAGTAGTAAGGCCGCCGGGGGTTGTTCTGTAGAAAGTAAAGTAAACAAGACGGAGTTAATGGTAAAGTCAGACAAGAGTACCTTCTATATGGAACCTTCCAGAGGCAGCTGAGCTCCTATCTTCAGAAGGTCAGCAGAGCAAGCGAGCTTTGGGCAAGTGAGAAGGTCTGATGCAGGCTGACTGAGAACTTTCGTGGCGGGTAGGGGCAGAGGAATTGCTGGGGACCTGGCCTCAGCAGACTGAAGAAAGCAAGGAAACTTCTGGTACAACCACCAGTGCAGCACCTCCCCAGAGTTGTGAGAGACCATGCTGTGAACGGTGAGAAGAGGACAGAGGTGCGCACCAGGGGGTTGGGCCGGAACCTGTAGGCCAGCATCATCCTCTTGCGGAAAGCCTCGTACTCATCATCCTCCTTAGAAAGTTCAGCCGGTCGGTCAATGCCAAAGCCAGCACCATCTACAGCGGTAGTGCCCCTGCAGGAGGAGGGGAAACGTGAGTGCTGGGCCTGGGGGATTGGTGGGACCAGCACACACCTTGACAGGACCTTGACACGGGCACCATGCTAGGCTGGGTGGGGCTGTCTATGCAGAGCAAGCCCAGGGCTGAGTTGGGGCCGGCTGAGGAGACTGCAACAGTGGCCAGCTATTAGGACAGTGGGGGGTGTTTCCCACATGCCCCTCAATATCCCAAGATTACCTCTGTTCACCCTCTCCCCCCCTGGTGAGTAATGATGATGATGCCTCAGCCAGGCTGACAGGGCCAGCATGCTCCCCTTGGAGACCAATCTATCTGTGTGCCCATGTGCCCACCTAGTCTGGATGTACACAAAAAAGGACAGAACACACCCTGGAATGGGGGGCTGAATCTGGATGATTCTCCAGCAATGTGCCTCATTTTTGGCAGGGTGTGTACAACAGGTACTGCCGTCAATTCTCCCAAGGGGAAAAGCTATCAGGTTAACAGGGCAGGGGTTAGGGAGCAAGGAGGCAGGAGGTCCCTGGTGCTGGGCCAGCACTCACACACAGCAGGTCCCCTGAGCCCTCCAACCAGCAGATTCACTTGCTGATGTGATATCATGGCCCCCTGGCCCCCCACCTGCCCACACTCACTTGCTAACGGGGTTCTTGATGCCCTGGCCCTCAGAACCCAGGCCTTCGCCCTCCTTCCAGCCCATCTTCATCAGCATCTGGTACCCAATGTTCTCCACCGTCAGCTTGAACTCCTTGTATTCTGAGTAGTCAGGCTCCCGGCCCTCCTGCAGGGCATGGGTGCCATCAATTATCAGGCCTCTGAGCCTTGCTCCAGCCACCTCCCATCTCTGGCCTCACTCATGGGGGACAGTGCCCACCTGTCCCCAAGCCAAGATTGTTCTCCTGAGGTCCAGCTGGTGAGGTGCCTGTATGCTGAGCTCCTGGCAGCTAGAACAGGACAGTGATGAGCCCCGCAGGCTCTCCCACCATGAGGGATGAGGGTTTGATGCATGAGTTGCTCTAAAAAGACCCTGTGTGGCTCTGCCTCACTAGCCCAAGGACCCTGGGTGGGGAAGGCACCAGCCCTGTCTGCCGAGACCAGTCCATGGGTCTCTGTTGGGGAAGCACTCTGCCTCCATTGGTGAAACAGGTGCCCTACAGCCTGAGAACGTTCTAGTCATAGATGGGAGCTGCCATGGCCATGTGATGTCCTTTACCTTTAGGGCCTTGAAGGTCTCCATGAACTTCTCTAGTTCATCTGGTGGTAGGAAGTCTCCAATGAAGTGTTTGCCCCGGCCCATCTTGGTTAGCTGCTCGGCCCACTCTACCAAGAGGAGAAGGAGTAAGAGAGGGAGCACAGGTCTATGTGCCCAGAGCCCTGCTGCATGTTGTCTGTAGCCAGCAAACACTAGCAGAGGTCTCTGCTCACTGGAACTTCACCACAGAGGACCCTGAAGCAGAGGTCTCCTGCCAGGGCAGGCATGGGGTTTGGATCCATGCAAGTTACCCAAGAAGCCTGGTAAAGAAGTGGGGGACTTATGGAGCCCATCCACACCCAGCCCTACTCTGCCCACCTTGAATCTTGTCCATTCCCTGCCTGGCCCCACCCCGTACCCACCTTGTCATCTTATCCATCTCCACCACCTCCCACCTCCAGCCCTGCCACCCTATCTGCCCCACCCACCCCGAGTCTTGTCCATCTCCATGCGCCGCAGCTGGTGCTCCCAGGTGCCCAGCTCACTGTCCACCTCTTCGTCACTGTCATAGCCATGCTGGTGCTGCTGCAGTGCCTTCTCCCACAGCAGCTGCATGTCCTGCATGGCACGCTTGTGCTGCATGATCATGTCATACATCTGCTGCATCTGAGGGAGCAGTGAATAGGGTGAGTTGGCCCTATACCAGCTCTTCTCAGCCAGAGAACTCTGAGCCTGAGCAGCCTGCACAGCCTGGGTCTCTGGGTCTTGGTATCTATCTTGCCCATGCCCTGGTCTTGACCTCTACAGGAATCATAGGTGACGAGCCAATGGACCACAGTCCCTGCAGCACCCCCAGAAGGCCAGCAGAGATGTTGCTCTGGCTGTGGAGTCCTCGGTTAAGCCAGGCTCACACCCCAACACCGCAAGCCACCACCTGTCTGGCGCTAACCAGGACTCTATCCTGTATGAGACATGGAGGAAAATTAAGGAGATGATTCTAGTCATGCACAGCCCACAGATGGGGGAAGGGCTTAGGGAAGACTGACCAGGCTCAGACTCCAATGTGGGGAACCACTGGCCAAGGAGTCTCCCCCACTGACTGTGGCTCTGCAAGGCACAAAGGCCCTGTGAGCAGGGGATGTGGCCATGACCACTGTGACAAGGAGTGGTTCTAGCACTTGCTACCCCAGGTACCCTTCCCAGCACCCTCAGAGTTGACCATGCCCACCTTGGCCTCTGTTCCTGCCCCAACCCCTGCCCTGACACCACCCATCTCATCCCCTCCACTGACCCAGTCCCTCACACCTGCCCTAACATCACCTCATCCCCTGCCCTGACCCCCACACTTGCCCTGTCCCTTGCTGTTCCCTATACCCACCCTGTTTTCCATGCCCTTCCACTGGCTTTACCTCCTGCTGCTCCTTCAGCTGCTTCTTCTGGGCATCTGATAGCTCTGTGACACCCACCAGGCCCACAGGCTTCCCCTTTTCATAGCCAAGCCCCTTGAGGTCCTGAACTGGAGACAGACACAAGATGGTCAGTGACACACAGGCCTGCCCCAGGTCCTGAGGGGCACAGCCCAAGAGTCTGGTGCAGCTCCAACATGGTAGCTAAACCTAAAGTGCCTATACAAGGTCTGGTGCACAGGGGGCCCTGCACATTGGCTGTAACTATCACCACAGTCATTGGTGATGTGACAACTATGGGAGCTATCTATGCACTTTGTCCTACATCCATGTTTTGTTTCCATGATGACCTCTCAGTACAGATTCTACATTTCTTGATACTGCAGATGTGGACACCAAGACACAGAAAGGTTTGGGGCCTCACTTCTGGTCACACACCCATAGGGTGATAGGGCAGGGGCTCTGCACAGCAAGACATGAGAGCTCAGATGTGCATGTGAACATGTGTTGGCACATGTGTTATGTGAGAGTACACATGCATGTACGAGTGGACATTTATGTACATGTGCTCATGCATACATGTGAATGTACAACTATAGATGCACATGAGCATGTATGTGTGCATGTGTGTACAAGTATATGAATGCATGTGGTTGAGTGGGCATATATGAGTATGTCTGAATACATGCATGCACCAGTGTTTGAACATGTATGAACATACTACTGTATGAGTGCATACATGCATGTTTGTGTATTTGCATGTGTATACACAAGTACACATATAAATACATATGGGTAAGTATGCATGGGTTTATGAGTCCATATGTGCATGAATGTGTGTGTGTGTGTGTATGTGTAAAAAAGCACAAGTGAGAGTATATGAGTGCACATGTGAGTGTATGTTATGTGTGTGTCTCATGTGGCTCCCAGAAACCAACAGATGTGGCGCAGATGCACATGGACTGGGTCTGGCACATAGCTTAGCCTGGCAGCTCCATGAGCTCCTCTGGAGGAGGCAGGCAGCTGTTCTCAGAGCAAGTGACATTTAACTTTGCATCCGCTTGGCAACTTGGCAGGAGCCAGCAGCACTCCTGGTGGGATGCTGTAGACCCATCTGGGAGGCGGAAACCACTGCCCTGTGGATGTGGCTTCTTGCAGAGAAGCCAGGTAGGAGGCACAGAAGCCCTCTGGGGGTGTGAGAAGAGTCAGGCTGCCTCTGGCTGCAAGACTACTACACTGCTCTTGGGGACTTCGACTCCATGCCAGGTTAAGGGTTACCCAAGGTTGGACAATGCCAGCCAGTGATATAAACCTGGGCACAAGTGACCTTGGCACCAGGGCATGGTCACCAGGCCTTGGAGGCATCTTTACTTGCTGGCACTAGGCAGACGTCAGGGTGGGGGCTGAGAAATGTTGGCTGGCCATCAGAGCCAGGGCACTTGAACACTAATGCAGGCCCCGCCACCCGGGAGGAGCTGCTGTCCGTAGCCTTGTGAGGATGACTTCCAGGACCCCTCGGCCCCAAGTACATTACAGTTAGAGGGGGACCCACAATCTGACTTGCTCTCTTTTCTATATGGGGGCAGGAAGAAGGCTACCTGACAGTGGCGAGGGGGCAGTATCCACATCCCTCTGCACCAGCTCGGCGGGTGGGAGCTCTACTTTGTCCTCCTCAGGCCCCCAGCGGCTCTTCCGCTTCCTCTTTGTGGTGGCTGCAGTGGCTGGCTTCCCAGGGGCAGTGGCCAGGACAGTGTTGGGTACAGGGGTGGTAGAGGGTGCGGTGGTGGCAGATGAGGCTGGGCAGGTGGCAGTGGGAAGCACGGATGCTGACAGGGCCTCAGGGGGGGACTGGCTCTTCAAGCCAAGGTCAGGGGCGATGGGGGGATCTGTGGGGCTGGCCTTGGCCTTCCGAAACTCTTCCAGCTTCTGGCGGTAGTACTTGTACCCTTTGCTGTTGGGTTCATACAGAAAGCTACAAAAGAAAATAGGGACCATGAGCTGGACCTGTACCACTACCTGGACACCAGGTCATGTTCAGGGTCACTGCATATCCCAACCTCCTGCCCCGCCAGGCCTGAGTGGCTGCTGGCTCTGCCCAAGGAATGGTGACACGCTCACAGACCTCGAGAACTGTGGGGCAGACCAGGAATCTACCAACCTCCCCTCTTTACGAGGCACTCTCACCCTGCTCATCACACCCTGTTCAGAGGAACTGGTGAGCCCCAGATCCCCACCTGGGCAGAAGTCTCCCCTAGTGTCTGTAATGTGAGGAATCCTAAACCGTCCAGAGACAAGAAATGTCAGAAGGCAGAAGAGGCCAGAAGGTTTGCCAGGAGTCTTGGGTGGTACAGTTAATGCTTGGCAGCTAACCAAAAAGTTGGTAGTTTAAGTCCACCCAGAGGCACACTGGGAGAAAACCCCAGCAATCTACATCAGCCACTGAAGATCCTGTGGAGCATAGTTCTGCCGAGACACTCGGGACCACCATGACTTGAGGGTGACTCAATGATTTTTTTTATTTTTTGCCAAAGCCAGTATGTCCCAACAGGGGGAGAATCTGCTTTCACACTGGGAGGGGGTGCTCAGAAAGTGCCTCAAAGCAAGGTTGCTTGTCCCCTGGTTGAAAAGGCAGAAAAAAGCCCTAGGAGAGAAGTAGGGGCCTATGTTCACTGACTCACGGATGCTGGGCACATTAAGAAGCCTAGGAAAACGCAGTGTTCAATATCAAGAGATAAAAGCAAGGCATTTGTTCAAAGAGAGAGAGGGAGGCTGGTTCTGAGGACGCTGGACAGGTTTCCCCTGGGAACCTGTTTGAAGAGGACAGGCCTTCCCCTGACATGTCCCCACCCTAACCACACCCCTCATCCTGACCATATGGCCCCTCCTGACTATACAACCTCATTCTACCACACCACCTCATCCCGACTTCATGGCCTCATCCTGACCTCATAGTCTCATTCTGACTGAACAAGCACATCCAGACAGCATGGCCTAGTCTTAACCACATATCCTCATCCCAAACATACAATCGTCCTGACCCAAGAACGCTGTTGAGTGCTGCTGTCTCTGACCAGAAGAACAGGCTGGGCTTGGAACCGTGGCAGAATCCTGTGACCCTGCCCGCTTTCACTGGATGTATTTTGCAGCCAATGTCTAGTGGAACCAAATCTCCGACTTGCACAAACTTACTTATAAGGGAACAGTAAAAAGGTGGCGTTATTTCTCCTTGGAGAGATCAATCATAGGAGAACAGAAGGGCAGTGCATGCGTAGGGAGACCACTCGGGGGGTAGGAATGCATGGGAAGGACACAGGGAAGAGATAAATATGGGGAGGAAGTGGGAAGAGAGCTGTTACAGCATGGGAAACTGTAGTCAATGTCATGACTGTAAGCTTTCATGACATGTGTCATGTCTGTCAACTTTCACCCAAATCACAATTTAAAAAAAAAAAAAAAGTGGAGTGATTGAAAGTGAACTAGGAGCTCTGGTAGCATAGTGCCTAAGGCATTTGACTGCTAACTAGAAGGTTGCCGGTTCAAACCCACCAGCCACTCCTCGGAAGGAAGGTTGAACTCTACTTCTGTAGCAATACTGCCTCGGAAACCCAAGGAGGGGTCACTATGAGTCAGGTTTGACTCCACGGCGGTGAGGTTTTTTTTTTTTTTTTCCTTTAAAGTAAGTAGATATTAAGGAGCTCTGGTGGTGCAGTGGCTAAGGCATTCAGCTGCTAACCAAAAGGTCAGCGGTTTGAACCCATGAGCCGCTCCACAGGAGAAAAGACAGTCTGCTTCCATAAAGATTTATAGCCTTGGAAACCCTACGATGCAGTTCCACTCTGTCCTACAGGGTCTCCATGAGTCAGAATCAACTTAATAGCAGTGGGTTTTCTTGGTTTAAAAAGTAAATGTTAGTCAGGGGGGATCAGAGAGGTGACCCACAGAGGTCATCAGAGAGATTCTTCCCGAGTTGGGGTGTCCTGGGGGGCCTTCAGGCCAGGGCCAATTTCTCTCTTGGCTCTAGACCCAAACACCCAAGGCCTTGTGAAAGCTCTTGACCCCAGGCACCAGACCCTCAGGCAGCCCTGCCTGCCTCATCCTTGAGTTGCCTAACCTGAACCTTCCTCCCCTCAGCCCTTACTTCCACTAGCCCCCCCTCCTGTTGGTCACCTGCCCACCACCCACCCATCTCTGATCAATCTCCACAGCTGCTTTCTGGGTCCCTGACAACACGGTGGTCACATCCTCCCCCGTTCTAGCCTTTCCACAGGCCCATTAATGGATGGTCTTAAACCCCAGGGACTTGGCCCTGCCCAGCCCCCAATCCAGCCTCCCACATCTCGACATGCCCACACACCCAGTTCACCCTGACCTGTATGCCACCCCTCACCTGAAGGCCTGGTTCTCACGGTTGTTCTGGAGTGCAATGGTCTCCACCTCTGGACCCCCATCCGCTATGAACCTGGCCAACTTTTCTGCAAGGTTCTTGGCCTCTTCATCCTCTGGGGGTGAAACTTTAAGCAGGCTGTCAGTACTGAGCGCAACGCACCACACCCAACAGCCTAACTTCTGCTAAGAACCCTTTGGCAACTTGAGGGGCTCATCTTAGGAGCAATGCAAAAAAACAAAACAAAACAAAACAAAAACAACAGCAAATGGGAGTCAGATTACTGAATGAGACCAATGCCAGGTCAGCACTGTAGCCCCTTGATCTGCCCCCTACTCCAAGACTAACACTGATTCAGCATCATGGCATGGCCACCCACCACATACCCCTAGACTAGCACCAGGTCAGCACCACAGAACTTCTTTGTGCCCTGCCTCAAGATTTACACCCAGTCAGTATCATGGCATGCCTCCCCATCCCCACCCCAGGGCTGACACCAGGTCAGCATGCTGCCTCCTACCCCCACCCTAGGACTGACACTGGGTCAGTATGATTCTTCCTGCCCCCACTGCAGGACCAACACTGGGTTAGTGTTTTGGTACCTCTACCCCCACCATGGCACACAAGTCAGGTTTTGACAAGGGGGACAAGACCCACCCTGGACAAGGAAGAGGTCATGGGGTGGGGATAGGGTGGTCCTCCTCCTCTAGGTAAAGGGTCAGGGCAAAAGACCATACAACAGTGAAGCTCAGGCTCCTTCCAGTTCCCTCTGTCCACAGGGGTACCACTTCACCCATAGCTAAAGACTCAGAGGTGTCTCCTGCTGCCCTGGAGCTTATCCTAAACCCTACTGGCTGGTGTTCTCACCTGTCTTGTCCCCCTGGCCCCACAAATGTCTTGCAGCCAAAGTGCTCAACCCATGGCGAAGGCTCGTTGGTACTCATTAAAGTACATCCAAAGGAGGGGGGCTCAACCTTCCACAGTACCCTTTCCTGAGCACCCTGTGTGCCTGATACAGAGCCTGGTGGGGAAGATGGACCCCATGTCACCTGACCCCACAGTTCTGGAGAGGAAAGTTGTGGCAGCCCAGTTCAAGATGAGGACCCAGCATGACCCAAGAGGCCCTGATTCCACACCAGATGCCCACATGCCTCAAAGACCCCCTCCTCTGCCCTCCCAAGCTCCCCACCACCCCACTTACCTTTCTGAGAGGCTGTCTGCACCTTCTGTGCCTCCTTCCTCATCTCAGCTATCTTCTTTCTATAGTAGAGGAAATCCCTGCTGTTCTTATCATGCAAAAACCTGGAGAGGATTGGACAAAGCAGAGAGTCTAAGCAGCTATAGTGAGGGGCCACCCAGCTGCTGGGGACACCATACGGCAAGCTGGTAGGGCCCTGACACAACCCAGGGTTAAGTCTCCTGTAGCCTGGCACACCCTCACCCCATCACCTCCATGATAGCGTTGCAGCTAAGCAAGGAGATGGCACCAACCCCTCACCCCAAAGACACTCACGAGAAGGCAGGGTTGTCCTTGTAGTCCTCCATGGCCACCTTCTCTAGCTCAGGGCCGCCTTCCGCCACAAAGCGGGCCAGTTTCTCTATCACTTTCCGAGTCTCGACTCCCTCTGGGGGTGAAACTTTAAGGAAGCTGTCAGTACGGGGGCTTAACTCACACACCCCACAGTCAACAGGCACACTCTCTCTGGGGACCACAATGAGAGGGTGGGGAGAAGAGATGAGATGCAGGGCATCAGTGCCCAGTCGGTGCACACACTTGGAGTCATCTGCACAGTCATTGTGAGCACACGGCCAAAGAGAGCACACCAGGGCTATGTGCCTCACAGGGGCTGTGTGCTACATGGGGGCCATGAGCATCATAGGGCCATGTCTACCCCAGACTAGGAGGAGGCCTTGAAAACATGCCCAGTCTCACTTTTCGTTTTTGGAATGATTAATTATTTTACTAACCAGTTTTCAATATCATAAATTGGTTTCCTTTCACCCTTCTTTCCAACTCAGGAAACCCAAAGGACCCAGGGAGGCCGCCCTCACTCCCTCTTGCCTCCAACCATCTTAGGAGGCTCAGCAGGCAAGGCTGGTCTCTGGTGTGCTCAGACCCTGTCACCACCCACCAAGAACAGATGTGAGGCTATTACAGCATGGGGACGTGCTGCCGCCAGCCCTACGCAGAGATGGCCAAGCCCGCCCAGTCCCCTAGGACTCAGGGCCTTGTCTGAAGGTGGGCCAGGCTTCATGCAGGGAGGCATGCTGCTTCCTGCTTCCTCCTACCCTATGGAGACCAACCACCTTCCTCCTTGCCCAGGGCAGATGTCACCACCTGTTTACTCACACCACTGCCCTAACCATGGGATCGGTGACATACAGCAGGGCATGGCATTCTGCCAGCACTGTTGGCAAGGTGGACCAGATGAGGGGACCTCATGCCCCATGTGTTCCACCACCCCTTGCTCTGACCCACCCCAGGTCCCCCTCCCCACACCTCTGGTCACTTCCCCCAACTGTACCCCTGCCCCGTACTTACCTTTGATCTCCAGCCACTGTTCGTAGTCCTCCTCGTCGTCATCATCTGGGGACTGGAAGACGCTTGGCCGGGTGGCCACAGGGAGCTGCTTGGCATGTGAGTATGTCTTCCCTAGGCCTGGTGGGCCGCCCAGCCCTAGGCTTGCCCGCTTGCTGATCAGGAGGGGCCTCTTCACAGCGCTGGGGGTGGGTGTGCTTGGAGGAGCACTGGCTGAACTGGGAGGGGCATCTTGGAGAAGAAGGAAGGTCCTCTCAGACCAGAGGCCATGCATTCCTGGGGGCCACCCATGTCCCATGGCTCACCCAGGAGCACCCACCAGGATGCCACCTATTTTATAGATGAGGAAGCTGAGGCTCAGCAAGCAAGACTTGTCAGGTTACCCACCAAGGCCCAGGCTCTGCCAGCACACACAGATCCATATTCACACTCCAGAAAGAAATCATGTCCTCTGACTACCAGTGCCAAGCTACTCACACTTTCACACATAGCATGGACATGAAAATCACGAGAGTGACCCTCAGCTATCCTGGGACCTGATGGTGGCTAGGTGTCAGTAGCTTATAGGAAATAACCTCCAATCGATCACCTGTGCAGTTGTAGTCATGGACAGCCCCAGGGCTGGTCCTGCCCCAAGATGTCCCTCAAAACTCCTGTGGGCCAGTGGCTCACACACCTGTACATAGGGCCCCGTCTGTGGTATCCCTCAGCGGTTCTGGATGGAGAGAAACCCTGGGACGCTAGGGACCAGCTGCACTCAACCAAGCCACAGTCCTCCAGAGACACTCACGGGGGGACCACATAGAGGTTGCACTCAGTGGGGGACTTGGTGTAGGTCATGAGCAGCCACAGCTAAGCTGCCTCTGCACTCATGCTGAGTTCTTGGGCCTGGTCTTTCTAAGCCTCAATTACCTCTCTGGAATGGGAGGGATGAGTATGGTGGGGATCTGGGGGTCTGCCCTCTGAGACAGTGCATGCTGGGCAGGGGGCTCCCAGGAGCATGAGGGTGGCCCTACTCACCTGTGCTGGACTGCGCCTTCTGCAACTTCAGAAACTGCTGCAGGAAGCTGCCATCGTTGGCAAATTTGTTGGAAATGGAGGAGGAGTCGTTTGCATTTGTAATTCTAGACCCGAAAGTGAGAGGGGACAAGGTTGAGCAGGGGGAGGAGAGCCAGGTTGAGGGCCACCATAGCCCCACACCATCAAAACTGGTGCCAGTACATGGTGGGGCTGCTGCAGGAGCAGGCTTCCAAGCAGCAAGCTGGGGACACTCCTGTTCAGAGAAGACAACACTATGTGCTCACACTGTCTCTGCCTACACCCAACCCCACAAGACTTGCTCCCCAACATGTGCAAGAAAGTGCCAGCAATCTCCTGGTAGGAGAGTTACAAGGGTGCTTTATCTCTTTACTCTTCCTACTCTCTCTTCCTCCCCTCCTGTGAACCCAGCAAAGGGTATGTTTTACTACTAAAATTAAACCCAGGGGCCTAAATACTTTGAATTCAAACTTATTTTCCCTCTATCATAAAACAGAAACAAGTAGAAATATACGAAACAAGAATATAGGAAGCAAGCAGGAAAATTCCACATACCTCCCAACCTCAAAATGGCCACAATCCCCATTTTGGGATATTGACTTTGCACCCTAAGTTAGAAGTCACAGGAAATGAGGCCATAAATCACAATCTGCACGTACAATCCTACACACTTCCATTACTCCCATAATACACTACCCGGCCAATCTTAGAAATCCTCATTCATGTTTTTCTTCAGGGATGCAAAAGGTTTCACCATACAGACATAGTCAGGTACATAGTGAAAGCTTAGCAAGTCCACAGGTCTAACGCTCTTCCTTAAAATTAAGTTTTATTCTTTTAGGAATTGGTTCCAACGAGCTAAAAATGATGAACAATCTGAACAATAATAAAGGATGCTTGTTAGGCAAATCACAGGTCATCCAGAGGGCAGATGAGGGGCTGCCCTGAGAAGTCGAGATCCTAAAACAAAAGTGGCCAAATATAACATTCAATGGAAAATAAAGGGGGAAAAAAAAACACCTCACTGTCGTTGAGTTGTTTCAGATTCACAGTGACCCCTCCTTGGGTTTCCAAGGCAGTATCACTACAGAAGTAGATCACCCAACCCTCCTTCTGAGGAGTGGCTGGTGGGTTTGAACCACCAGCCTTCTGGTTAGTAGTCAAATGCCTTAGGCACTACGCCACCAGAGATTCAGAAAACAAAGAAGCAGGACGTAAAGCCACATCTACAGTATGGTCTTGCCTAGGTCAAAAAAGACTTGAGTTGAGAAATTGTTAGAAAACCATCAAAATGCAACCAGTGGCTGTACAGGGGTTTTAATTTTGAATGTCATCCCCCCTTGGTCCCTTCTCCATTTTCCAGATTTTCTACTGAGTGTATAAGTTATGGGAGTTTTGGTGGTGTAGTGCCTAAGGCACTTGTCTGGTAACCAGAAGACTGGCAGTTCAAACCCACCAGCCACTCATCAGAAGGAAGACTGGGCAATCTACTTCTGCAGAAATACCACCTCGGAAACCCAAGGAGGAGTCACTATGAGTTGGAATTGAATCGACTCAATGGCAGTGAGTTTGGGTTTTTTTGGTTTGGTATGAGCTATCTTTCAAGTTGTTTTAAATGCAAGAGGAGATTCTAGCCGATAAAGTGCCCTCAGCATTAGATGAGCAGCTCCCAATGCCTCTCGGTGCCTCTTGCCTCCTTCACACTGTATCATTGCTCCTTGAGGGGATGGGGTTGGGGGGGCTGCTGTACATCAAGGCAGCAGACAGATCCCACTGAAAACCATAACAAACAGTCAGGAGTAATGTGCAGCCAACAAAAAGTTGGTTCTTGATGAAGAGACAGAACACAATGTGGTAATACTACACACACAGCTATAAAGAATACCAAGCAGTCCATGAAACATGGATGAATCTAGAAGATACAGAGCGTGTGTTGTAGTAAATTACATAGTATTGATTTTCTAGCCATAGTCTTTATAACTTTTACCGGGCAACTGAGTGGGACCATGAAATTTAAACTCCTGATTATTAAAGTCATCCACCTAGGGTATTTCTTTTTTTTTTAATTTTTAGTGTGATTTGGGTGAAAGTTTATAGAGCAAATCCATTTTCCTTACAGTAATTTACACTTTGTCTTATGACATTGATTGCAATCTCCCACAATGCAACAGCTCTCTTCCTGCCTCCTCCCCATAGTTACCTCTTCCCTGTGTCCTGCCCTGCCATACACTGTCCCCCAAACTGTCTCCCTGTGCATACATAGCTCTCTTATCCTTCTATGATTGATCTCTCCAAGGAGTGTACGTAATTATCTTGAATAAATGTTCAGCTCACATGCCTGTCTTTTGTTTGACTGCAAGCCACAAGAGTGGGTTTAATTCCAGACCTGAAGGGCAGCTAGGGGCCATAGTCTCAGGGGTTCCACCAGGCTCTATCAGACCAGCAAACCTGGTCTTTTTTTGTGTATATGTGTGTGTGTGTTTGGCTGGGTTCTCTAGAGAAGCAAATCCAGTACAGCTTATATACATAAAGTTGTTGTAGTTATTTGCCATCGAGTCGGCCCCGACTCATAGCGACCCCTTCTTGGGTTTCCGAGGCAGTATCACTACGGAAGTAGGACTGCCCAACCTTCCTTCCGAGGAGTGGCTGGTGGGTTTGAACCGCCAGCCTTCTGGTTAGCAGTCAAATGCCTTAGGCACTATGCTACCAGAGCTCCTATATACATAGAGAGAAAGAGAAATTTATCTTAGGAAAATGGCTCACACACTTATAGAAGCTGGCAAGTCCAAGTTCTTGGATCAACCATCAAGCTGAAGGCTTTTCCTGACTCATGCAGCTGCAGGGGCTAACGAGCTCAAGGTTGGCAGGCAGTAAACTGCTGTGGACGCCAACGAATAATGAATCCAAGATCTCCAGGCTGAATGTTGGATTGTTTGCTCACAGACAGTTATAGGCAGCACAACAGAATCCCGATTCACTGAAGAGAGTCTCTTTTCCCAGGACATCCATAAATATACTGGAAGCAGGCCACACCCCTAGGGAAACTCCCCTTCAACAGACTGGCTGCTAAAAACATAGACATCTGATTCCATCATAGGAACAACCCACATCACAATTGCTCAAACCACACAGAATCGTGGTCTAGCCAAGTTGACATAGAGCTCCAACCATCACAGTGTGATGATGAGTTTTGTTCCACATTGTTCTCCCACTGTATCCACGATCTCCTACATAGATTTCCCCTTCCAAGTGGTTGACAGTGGTAGCTGGGCACCATCTAGTCCTTCTGGTCTCATAGTCATAGAGGCTGAGGATCACATAGTGTACCAGTCCCTTGGACTAATTGTTTCCATGCAACTTTGGTTTTCTTCATTCTCCTTTGCTCTGGGTGAGGAGAGACCCATCGTTGCATCTAGATGGCTGGTTGCAAGCTTTTAAGATCCCAGTCACTACTCACCAAAGTAGGATGTGGAACAATGTTTTTGTGTAATATGTTATGCCAATTGAGCTTTATGTCCCCTGCGACCGTAGTCCTGAGCCCACAGGTCCAACTACTTGCTCCCTCTAGGTAGCTGGTTGTGGCCAAGAAGTGACTACAACCTTGTCCCTTGTCAGCTCTACTGTATACCTGGGAATTCTTACTGAACATACAAATACACTTGTAGAAACATTTTCTGCCAACCCTGTACACGGTCACAGGCACATTCTTCCCTGCACAGACATACCTAATCCGTTCAGTCTGTCCATCCATCTATCCACACCTCGGGTATTTCTGTTGAAGCAGCACAAACTAGTCTTTTGGTAAAGTTCGCCCTGTCTCAGGTGCATAGAACTCTGATGTTGGAATTGGTTGGTTATGCCACTCTGCCAGGCTCAAACGAGTCCTCCTAGAGGCAGAAGGAATCTGACTGCTGGCTGAGAGACACTTCAGTGAAAGAGATGCCCGGCTGAGAGAAATGCCTGGCTGAGAGACAGCAGCAGTGGAACCAAGAGGCACAAGATAGAGCGGCAGGCTTACCTGACTCATAGAGGCAGAGGCCAGGCTGAGAGGCCAAGAGCCAGAAAGGCGTGTCTAAGGCCACAGCAGAGAGGAGACTGTCCTGATTGAAGAACTGTAGCCTGAGTGTGTGCCTGAACTTAAATTGTTGCTTGTTGCTTCCCTAATAGGCCCCATAATCTGTGAGTTCTGTGTGGCCACTGCAGCGAATGATTGAACCCAGCAGAGGGGTGGTGGGTGCTACGGGAGGGACGGGTGATGTCAAGGTTGGTAAAAGGAGGGTGGTGGCATTTCTGGCCTCACAGGAACAAGCCTTGGGCTGCTGATGGTGATTCTGTCTTCCTCTTATGAAGTTAAGAGGAGTTCAGAAGACATCCGCCTCCACGCCCCTTTAGCATTTGGTGTCAGAAGCAGAATTTGTTGCAGTGGCTCCAGACTCACAGAAGCATGGGATTTTATAAAAGAAAGAAGGGGACTGGGAAGTAAAACTTTAGATTCTTAGATGGTTACTTTGGTTGGTGTTACCTGTAATGGCAGAATAGACATGCTGCAACTGACAGGAGAAAGGCCTGAGGCAAGAGCCAGGCCAATTAAGGGAGATAATTGATCCAGAGGCTAGGGCTTTTGGTTAAACCCAGCCAAAGGCCCAAGGCCATACACATAGATGGAAAGATTATCAAGGTGAAAAGATGAAACTGGAATGTCTTAAATATGATTATGTGTTATCTGAATGTACTAAGAGTATTATATGTTCTCTTACCTACTTGTATGTTAAAACGATTATACAGTATGGATAACAGAGAGCATGTAAGTCCGCCTTCAGCCAATATTTGATTGGATATGTTAAAAGGGGAAACAATTTATCCAAAAGAAACACAGGCTTTTGTTCAAACCCCATGTGTAGAGTATAGGGGGCTTAGATAGAAAACCTGAGCCCCAACCACAACCTGCTGAGTGAGGAAATTTGCATTTGAAAAGACCTACCTAGAACTACTGAGAGAAACCCCTTCCAGGACTGGAAGTTAAAGGAAGAGTAGTAGGCTTGTATGCTGCTCACTTGTGACCACTTGGGTCCACTTGAGTGGAGTG